TTATTGGGTGAGGGGACTGTGACGATTTGTTAATCTAATGAATAACTGATTTGTTAAATCAAATGAAAAATTGTGTGTTTGATTGGTCCAGACGCTACAGAGGTGTTAAGCTATCTGTATGGGGGACGGCTGTGTAGGCCGTGTAAGGTGTGAATAGCTGGTGAGGGGCAGATAGTGAGGTAGGGTGCTATGTTTTTGTGTTCGTGAACACAAAGAGAGGGTTTGAGTAACTTTGTTGAGGGGCTGTAAGCAGGGGTCAGCTAAGGACCGGGCTATACGTGCACTGATGGTTCACAGGTTTGGTCACTATGAAGATATCAGATAAAACAAAACTGAAATAAAATCAGAAAGAGACCAAGAGAGAAGGAAGGGCTTGCCTTATTTAGTTTAAGCTAGGATATATGACTAAGCAGTTGTCACTCGTTCAAAGGAATGCTGCAGCAGGGTCATAAACTTAGGGGGTCTGTTAGCTAAGCTAGCAGGGGCACATCAAACACCTCAAGGTACATAAACAGAAATAATAGGAAGTGTTTCTAGTCTTCTCAGGGGCCTGTAGCATAATGAATGGTAACTGTAGCTTGTGTAATAGGCCTGGTGCTGAGGAGTAAGGAGGGGTAGAGCAGAGACTGGAATTAAGGCTACTAATAACCTGTACGGTTCATTAAGGATACAACAGCTGCTAGAACTGCTACAATCCTATACCGAGAGGGAAGATGGTGATGGTCAAACAAACTAAAATAAGGTAAAAGTAAAACCAAAAGATCCTAATAGCCGTAGGAAACTAAAAGGAAGAATTAATTAACAAATTGATTTAATTATATCTCAGATTTAAATAAAATCAACTGAGCTGAATTGGTACATTCAAGCTAAACAAAGCTAAATTAATGAAATAAAATTAAAGACAGGTAGAAATATATTACATTGATTTTCCTGATGATTAAAAAACAACAACAAAAAAACACTTAGATTTCATTAACAAATAAACAGAGTTTAATGGACAAAATAGCTAATAACAATTGTGTAAATATTGCATAACAACATTAAATCCTCCCAAAATTTTAAATAATAATCAAAAAATATTATTGAACAAAGAAATATTAGATTGATTTTCCTGATGAAAACAACAACAACAACAAAAAAACACTTAGATTTCATTACCAAATGTGAACCAAAAATGAATTGGCTTGGAGTTTAATGGAAAAAATAGCTAATAAAAATGATATAAATATTGCATAGTATCATTAAATCCCCTCAATATTTAAAACAATAATCCAAAAATATTATTGAATAGAAATATATTACACTGATTTTCCTGATGAAAAAAATAAATAAAATAAAACACTTAGATTTCATTAACAAATGTGAACCAAAAATGAATTGGCTTGGAGTTTAATGGAAAAAATAGCTAATAAAAATTATATAAATATTGCATAGCATCATTAAATCCTCTCAAAATGTAAAACAATAATCCAAAAATATTATTGAACAGAAATATATTACACTGATTTACCTCAGGGGGAAAAATAAATACATTTTAAAAACTTACATTTCAAGTACCAAGTGTGACCCAAAAATGAAGAGGCTCAGATCTGAATTCATTTTAATAGAAAAATAGTTCATATAAATTGTATAATTATTTAATAGTATCATAAAATCCCCTCAAAATTCCAAATAATAATTAGAAAATATTATTGAACAAACATACATTACATTGATTTTCCTCAGGGGGAAAATAATAATAATAATAATAATAATAATAAATAAACAAATAAACTTATATTTCAAGGAGCAAGTGTGACCCAAAAATAAAGAGGCTCAGATCTGAATTAATTTTAATAGAAAAATAGTTCAAACAAATTGTATAAATATTTAATAGTATCATAAAATCCCCTCAAAATTTCAAATAATGATTAAAAAATATTATTGAACAAATATATTACACTGATTTTCTTAAAATGAAGAGGCTGCAGACGATTAAATGTTTCAAAATAATTTATCTGAAGTCCAGTTGTATAAACACTTTTTCTCCCTCTATCACTGCTTTTGCAATTTTATATAATTATTTTTTATAATATATTTTTTCCAGAAAAACAAACAAAAACCTTACATTTCAAGCAGCAAGTGTGACCCAGAAATGAAGAGACTCTGAGTTTAATTTATTTTAATAGAAAAAAAGCTCATAAAAATTGTATAATAATTTCATACTATCATAAAATGTTCAAAATAAAAAACTCAAAATATTACAGACCAGAAATATATTACATTGATTTTCCTAAAGAAAAAAAAAAGTGTGACCCAAAAATGAAAAAATTTAGTTTAAATACATTTTAATGGAAAAATCTCATAAAATGTTATATAATTATTGAATAGTATCATAAAATCTGCTGAAAACTCAAAATATTACTGAACAAAAATATATGACATTGATTTTCCAGAAAAACAAACAAAAAACAACTTACATTTCAAGCAGCAAGTGTGACCCAGAAATGCAGAGACGCGGAGCGTTAAATGCTTCAAAAGAATGTTTTTAATGTACAGCTGCATAAACACACTTTTCTCCAGCAGTGCTTTGAATGTTGATTTCAAACACATAATAATAATAATGATGATGAAGTAATTTTATTCTGATTTCTATAACACTAAAATTAAATGAACTCCTGAAAATACAGCCTGAGAAATATGACTCAAGAGTGTAAATATTACATATTATTTTACACATATGTATCAGTCTGTGTGTGTGTGTGTGTGCGTGTGGGTTTAATGTGACACAGAGACACTGAAGAGTTGTGTGTGTGTGAGTGTGTGAGTGTGTGTGTGTGTGTTTAGTGTTTAATGTGACACAGAGACACTGAAGAGTTGTAATTAAGGTAAAATCCAGCGTGTAGAGGTTGAGTGAATGTGTGTGTGAATGTGTGTAAGTGTGTGAGTGTGTGTGTGTCAGAGACGCTGTAGAAGGACAGAGAGCCGCTCGGTTCGTCCAGAAACACTGCTACTCTCTTACAGGAGTCTGAAGCAGCAGAGATCACAGTTCTCTTACGATTGTGAAGGACAGTGAAGCTGTGATTAGAGCAGATCAGACTCCAGGAGTTCACATTATATCCAAACAAACAGTCTTTACTCCTTCCTTTCCTCTTGATTTCTTTATAAGCCACTGATATATAAACATCTCCAGCTCCACTCCATTCAGTCTCCCAGTAACAGCGTCCAGTCAGCCTCTCTGAACACAGAACCTGAGGATTATACTCATCAAATCTGTCCGGATGATCAGGATATAACTGCTCCTCAGAGACACGCGTCACCTTTCTGTTCTCCTCAGACAGAACGAGTCGAGTGTGTGCTGTGTTTGGATCCAGTGTGAGATCACAGGCGTCTGAACACAACACACACATTACAACACACACATTTACAACTAAACTACAAACAAGAAAACACTGTCTGATTGAGGACTTACATTTGTGGAGTCCTGCTGTGATCCTGAACTCTCCTCCATGATCCACACTAGAAACACACACACACACACACACACACACACACAGAGGATCCCCAACGCTCCTCCATGATCCACACTAGAAACACACACACACACACACACACACACACACACAGAGGCACACACACACACACACACACACACACACACACGATTCATGAAACATTTGCTCTGGTTTAAAAGCCCCTCAAAAGTTTACGACACGGAGAAACGTAACCCGGTCAAAAAGAGGAAGCTGATCTCATGAAAGAGGAAGAGAAAGTGATCTTCCAACAAAAACAAGTTTAATACAGCTTTTCAAGTTCTCTGATTTTCATACGCAGGTCTCACTATATTGGAAAATGTGGTACAAGCATAATTTGACTATAATAGACTTATAATAAAAGGTTTGTAAAAGAACTTTGAATGTAATGCATTTAATAAATGAAGAGGGTTATGATCATTTTGAGATCAAATGTAATGTGGATTGTTCATAGAGATGATTTTCTTTAGTTGTCAGAGCTATTCCTGTAGCTTCGGGGAATTTAACTAAAGGTCTCTCACAATATTCCTCTGTAACATCTACATCTGTTGATTGGTTTATTGACAATTATAATGTATTGGATGATGAATGTAACAATCAGTAATGATCAGAGGTCACTAATTACAAAATATTATGTTGTCTTTCCTCGTAAAAGAAAGGTTTTATCTGAGAGGTTTTCAAAAGCTGACACTATCAGAACTAGATGTACTTTCTCTTGTTAATGAAAGAAGTGCACTTCAAAACAATTAATGACATTTATCCATGTAGCAGATTTCTGTGAATGAGACTTAATTAGGATATTAATGTTTGATATTTCTGCCTTAAAGAAATCAACATCTTTTTTACTGTATTATTGTTAAAGTGGCTGAAGAATAAAAATAAAGCCTTCTTCTGCCGATCACATTCTTATATTTGGTGTCTTTATGCAAAACAAAGAGATTGAAGTTTTATATTTTGAAGTTTATGTACACAAATGCAGATTTGTTAAAGGCTTCAATTAGTTAAAAACTCCTTGTTCTGAGGCATTCAAAAATGAATTGATTTAATAGAATTTTATTTAAATCCTTAAAACAATGAAAAACAAAGTGCCTTCAAACTCTCGGAATGACTGGCAGCACACGGATTAACCTCCACTGAAATGCTATTTCATTTATTGTTGATGTGTTCAATGGAAAGATGACAAAAAACTAACAAAAACGCTAACCTTGAAACGGCAAACAATTATTATTATTATATAGTATATAATATATGAAAATACTTCATTAATATGACACACTGTCAATAGAATATTTTACCATTGGCAACACATTTTTAAATGATGAATATGTGGCTTCTAGTGATGACTTTAATTGAAAGTAAGAATTTTGACCAATTAATACTTTCAGTTAAATGGTTAAAAAAGTAATTTAAAGAAACACTGCACAACAGACAAGTCACATACCAAGTAGCATTTTGTTACATTCAGAAATAATGTAAAATACTGGTAAGCTATAACGTTTACAAACATTATAAACATATGGAGAATGTAAAGGTGATGTCGCGCCCGTGTTGCATTCTGGGTAATGGTTTTGTTTAGACGTCATGTTAAGAGGATCGCGCTGTCTTTCTGTTAGTCAGTTTAAGGCAGTGTTTTGATTGTCTGCTGTGATTGTGAAAAGTTCTCATCGTAGGTTCCTCCTGCTATTAATAATGTTACTGATTAAACCCACTGCCTATCACTCAATCCAATAATCTACATATTTTATTTCATAATAAGAACAATGTCAAGTCAATGGACAAAAGCACAGCTACAAACTGTAGACAAATGAAAATTCAGAATGTACTTGGCTGTAAACAAAAACATTTAAATTACTTGTAAAAACTGCCTTATGTGCAATTTAATTGTTTGTGCAATAATTTTAAAATACTTAAAAAAAAAAATTATATCAACATTTTAATAATTTGTTGGTGAAATGTGAACATTTAAACATTGGCTGTAAAAAAGTGTTTTCATGACTTATTAAAGACATCACTAACGTAAAGTAAAAATATAATGAATATGTACAGTGCAGATATTTATGAAAATGCTTCTCTCTAGAGTTTCTAGTGAACTTGAAACACTAATTGAGCAATTACATGCCACATGATACTTTTTAGTAAGTTGTTCTATTCTTTCAACATACCTTCTGATGTTCATTCATGCTTTAGTCATGTTTAGTTATGCAATAACTAATAGTAAAGAGTGCACTTTATCTGTCACACTGTTTTAAAGAGTGCAGAAACTACATTTATTTTTAAAAATTTGGAATAAAATCAACAGAATTTGAAAGTTGATAGACAGACTTTGATCTGTAGGTTTATATAACAGAGGCTCGTGGTTATTTCTGTCGAAGGAACCTCCTGCTATTGCTAAAATAATAAAATCAGAGCAGCGGCATGTTTGCCTGCACATTATTAAATATATATACTGTATATAAGCTTGTTTCTGCAAAGACGTTCATTATGCTTTCTACAAAAAAGTCTGACATGTTTATATTTTACGTGGCATGAGAATGTGAAAAAGCAACGCTAAATCCGATCTGATCGGTCAGACAGAAACGATATCCAGAAATGGCCACATACGAATGTAGCTCGAAACGGATTTTCACAAATCGGATTTCATGTTGTTCGTTGCCTTTTAGACCATCTAAATATGACTGGATTTCAATCAGATTTGCACAAAAATCTGATTTGGGCTGACAGTCTGAATGAGGCTTAGTCACAAAGCAGTACTATTTTTAATTTGAGTTTATGTTATTCCTCGTGCATGGAAATCAGCTATGGTTCTCCCTTTGTTAAAAGATGGTCTCATCTGAATTGGATAACTATCAGCCGATTTCTAGGTTATCAGTGTTGGCAAAAGTATTTTAATCTTTTGTAAATGAACAAGTAAAACAGTTTTTAACCGAAAATAAAATTGTAAATTAATTCCAGTCAAGCTTTAGCTCAGGTCATAGTACTATTACAGCAGCCATGCTGGTCACAAATAATATTAATAAATGTCTGGATAGTAAACAGCATTGTGCAGCGCTATTTGTAGTTCTCCCTAAAGCATTTGATTCCGTAGATCATAAACTTATATTGTGCAGAGACTTAGTTGTGTAGGTTTTAGTGAAATGGCTTAAATTGATTCAATAATTACTTTTTAAAAAGAACTCTGTGTCTCAGTTGAAAATTTAATTTCAACAGAACTAAAAAATAAAAAAGGTGTCCAAAAGGGATCTATTTTAGCACCAATTTTGTTTAAAGAAATGTTTTCCTTTTAAAACAAGAAAGAGAATTACACAAAGTTGTTTCCTCTCAGTGTTAGATTACGGTGATGTGGTCTATATGCATGCAAGTTTATCTTCACTAAAATAGTTGGATTATGTATCCATGCTGCCTTATGCTTTGTGACGAGTGCCTCTTCACACACTTATTCTGTATGAATTAGTGGGATGGTCCTCTTTGTTTCAAAGGAGGAAAATACACATGCTGTTGTTTATTGCCAAGGCATTGTTAGGTAAATTAACTATTTATATTTTATATATATTATATAATAACAACAACATGTAATTATAGCACTAGATCTACTGCTAAACTTCTTTTACAGGGGTCATGAACTGCCCTTTTTATTGTTTTGTACTGTTCTCCGAGATCCCCTTATAATGTTATCAAGATTTTTACATCAAAAAACATAATTTAGAAGTAATAGGCTATTTTCTGTTCTGTTTTTAAACCCCTCGTTGGAACGCTCTGTTTGAATAGGTGTGACCCACTGCTATGATTGGCAAACAGTTGTGTATGTTTGACAGCCTTCATCTTTCACAGATAGATGCTGCTGTGATTTAGCTCAAAAACGCATAAATACTCTTTACATATCAAATGATCTGTACGAACAGACAAAGCAACAGTGACCACGTAATAAATTTAGTTAACATACTCACACTTGTGAGGTGCGACATTACTGTCAGATTCAATATAGTTGGCACAGCATCGTCTTTTAGTCTCAATCTTTCTGAAAATCCTGCATCAAATTGTTCCTTGTTTGTTAACGAATCCGTGGTAAAATGAAGTGAACAAAGGACCAATTTCTTACTGACCTGGTCTGAAACTTCATTAAAAATAAAGTTCATCCAATCTTTCCTAACATTAGGATCAGAAGGAAGGCAATGCAAAGACTCTGTTTTTCCACAACTTGGCACAGTACAGCGTCTTGTTGTCTTCGGAGTATCTTTATCATTTGATTTCTGTGTAGACCTGCGTTTGCCTCGCTCATCATTTACACTACATGTGTGAACTGGATTGAGTAGAACATTCCACAAGCTGTCATTTTGGCAGATTGGTTTCAATATAAGCTGTTTTTAGACTAATGAGAAAGTTCTGAGTACAATAACCTCTTATATGTCAACAGATTAAGGGAATTTCAGTTTATCAGTTCATGACTAATGTTCCAAGAGTAAAACTGCCTTATTATTTTTTTTGCTCCCTCATTATGGAACAAGCTGCAGAGTATTGTAAAGAAACAAGTCCCTCTTTAAAAATTTCTTATGGTCCAATCTAAAGGAAACATGTACTTGTTTTAATTTTTTGATCTGTCACTACATGAATGCAGTGCAAAATTTAGTTAGTCTTACGTGTTTGTAAAACATTTTTTATGTGATTTTTGTGCTGCCATTTTGGCCAGGACTCCCTGGATGAAGAGATTTTAAATCTCAATGGGACTATCCTGCTAAAATAAAGGATAAATAAATAAAAATAATATATATTTAACAGTGATGATTTTAATAATTCTTACACTAGCAACTGTGCTACTAGTCCATTTCATACAAGTAGCATGTAAACACATTGAGCACTGACCATCAGATAATTGTTTGTTTGTATCATATCTGTTTGGTACACACATATCTAAAATTCATCTGCTCTTATTAAAGACCTACAAATGTGAACAAATGTATAGACAAATATGTTTAAATGACATTCACTCAAGTGATGAAGACTCCAGTCAAATCAGTAGCCTAATAAATGATTGTAATTTTTCATGGAGCAAGTGTAATTAAATAATTCTCTAAGACTGAAGCATAGAACTGTATTATTATTATTATTGTTCATCATGATAAACATTATGATAAGACTGAAACTGAAAACATTTGTCACATACAGAGCTGACAGAATGTTTGTTTCTGCTCAACTTACTTGAGTTTGTCCAGATGTTTGAATGTATGAGAGAGCAGCTTCACTCCTGAATCTCCTGGGTGGTTGTAGCTCAGGTCCAGCTCTCTCAGGTGTGAGGGGTTTGAACTCAGAGCTGATGCCAGAGCAGCACAACCTTCCTCTGTCACCATACAGTAAGATAATCTACAACAGAATGTGTTCATGTTAGTGTGCTCCATTTTTAGAAATGTACTGTATAAATATGCAAGCGTATATTTGAAGCGTTGAGCATTATAGCCAATCACAGACATGACTGTTGAACGCAACAGCCAATCAGAGGCTTTTAAACGGATCACTGTGCCAAAGATGGGTTTAGCGTGATATGCCCTTGTAATATTTCATTAAAACATTAACTCCTTCCCCACCGAAATGACATCTCTTCTCTGATGACGTGAGCTCCAGCAGAAGGGCAGAACAAGCAAATCAAGTCCTGCCCAACATTTATAAAAACATAAATGTCCCTATTTGTGGACCACAAAACCAGTCATAAGGGTAATTTTTTTTTAAACTGATATTTATACATGTCATCTGAAAGCTGAATAAATAATCTTTCCATTGATGTATGATTGATGTATGTTAGAATAGGACAATATTTGTCCAAGATATAACAAGCCTAAATCGCCTTTAAAGTTGTCCAAGTGAAGTTCTTAGCAATGCATATTACTAATCAGAAATTACATTTTGATATATTTACAGGAAATTTACAAAATATCTTCATGGAACATGAACTTTACTTAATATCATAATATATATACACACATACATGTATATATATACATATATATTTTTTTTTTACATAAAAGAAAAATTAATAATTTTGACCCATTCAATGTATTTTTGGCTTTTGCTACAAATATACCTGTGCTACTTATGACTGGTTTTGTGATCCAGGGTCACATTTGTGTGAGTGTGTGTGTATATATGTTAAAAAAAAATCTTGTTTTTCCTGGATAAGAGAGAATATGGTCGTGCTGCAGAGCAGGGGCAGACTTAACATTTAAGTGAGGTAAGTGGCCGCTTAGGGCCCCGGGGAATCGGGGATACCTATCCAGGGACGGACTGGGAGTAAAAAACAGCCCTGGATTTTCTCCCAAATAGGCCCACCACAACTACAAACAGTCGCTACTCTCTCACAATATTACAGCAATCCTATTGCATTTATGACAAATAACATCACAAAACCCATGGTGACCCTGCTGACAAAAACAATAGAAACCATCACAGAAATTCTAATGATTTCCACTACAAATACCATTACAGACATTACAAACCAACTTTTAAATTTTAAAACCATTAAATAATGGTTTCCTGAAGTGTGTTTTGGGACATATTACATTAGCATTTAGTGGCTTTAACAAAAGCCATGAATAGAAGGTGACCAATTACCAGTAGAGACCAACAGGCACCATTACAAACCAATACAATTTTCATTATAACCAGTAAAATTATTACTTATGTGTAATAATGTAAGGTTTCTATTTTTTTTTCAGCAGGGAATTGAAATAAATGTATTATTGTATGAACTAAAATACTTGAAATCTACATAAAAAGAGCAGAATGCAAAATGTATAATATGGCAATGATAGACAATGATAAACAGAAACCTAGAATCTAGAAACCTGAAACAGAATTCTTCAATTTGAGTATTCATATGTCTGTGTGTGTGTGTCATGTTAATCAGATTAATCACCTTATAGGCTACTTCATTTACTCAATTTTCTAACTCAATAGCTCTCAAATGTAACCCGTTGAAGAATCGCTGCTGTCTCTTTATGACTGAATGGAATAATCATGCCAAACAATGCGGAGTGATAAATAGCAGTGGACGTTCGGATTAGGGTTGTCCTGGGATTTTACTACAGTGCTACAGGCTACATGCTGTGTATAGTTAGAGAGGTGGGAAAAAGGTAACCTGATGTAACTGTTCGCTTTTTTTTTCCTTTTAGCTTCTCTCAACCACCTTTATCTTCACGTATTTTGCTTGCCATCACGAGCCCACTCTGGCTTTCTGGCTTTTTATACGCAAAAATAAATTGCATTAGCACCCCCGTTTGTCGGCCGTCAACATCACTTAATCTAACACTTTTTATTTGAAGATGAACCAAACAGAATTCTGGACTTCTCCAGAACATCCAGATGGCCAGTCCACTCCTGGCCCCATCTGATACTGGCAAAACATATTTGCAGCGTTGAGCAATGTAGCAGACATATCTGTTGATTTCTTGAACGCAATAACCAGAAGTGTTTAAGTTAGAATCCACTGGCTACTCAAAATGCAGAGTTTTTGTGAAGTGCTGAGTTCTGCAAGCTCGGGAATCTTCTCATTACAACAAAGTGTAGATACGATGTAATTAGAGATCCATTGTGCAGTGTAGAGAGCTTATTAACGGAACATTGTGAGATTGTAATGAACTGAAGTGAGTGACAGCTTTTAGTGATTACATGAAGGAGCACTCTTACCGTGCATTCTAAGGCTGTATAATACTCTGACTATCTCAGAACAGAGATATTCACCTCAGTAAAGAAAGTATTGTGTTTCAAGTCAGTGAATGAGTGAGCAGGATGATTTTCACATCATTTTGAAGTAAATATTCTAGCCTACAAGACTGATTACTCAAAAGTCTTATTCAGAACTATTCAGTATGGGTTTTATGGCCTGATTTCAGCTAATTTTTTACCCAAAACTTACCAACCACACATAATCTTTGTTTTTGTTTTTTTCTAAAAAATGCAAAAATGTACATCCATCTTGCTTACATATTATTGTAGCACAGTTACTGCTGCTTTTACAGAGTGTAAACCGAATCTATGGTTATTTACATTTAGAGTAAATAGCATATGTCGCTAAGAAAATGTTATTTTCACTTAGTGTAAGCAGCATCTATTGCTATTGACACTAAATGCAAATAACTACTTCCTTTGAAATAAATCGACATCAGAAGAGAAGAGCCTGTGAGCAACCGAGTACTTTTTGGGTTCTGATTGAATCTGTGTTTTGAATGAATCAGCTGAGCAAATTATTTGAATACATCCATAAAATCACTTGCTTCATTCCTTAATGAATAAGTCCTTTTGAATGAATCAAATCGAATGTGAATGATTCCATGACTCATTCATTAAGACAGTGATTTGCTGCCAACTACTTGTGGTTTTAGTTTCATATTTAAAGCGGTTTATTTTCCCACCATAATTTCATATTTCAATGTTTAAAATGGTATATTTAAAACACTAATCTCAAAATGATCTCAATATTATTAATGCATTTATAATTGCTTCAAACCACCCATTTTTATTTAGTGGTTAACATAAAAGCAAGACACCAAAGTCTATGCCCCTCACCTTAAGTATTCCAAAGTATTTAGATTGTTACTAAACTTGAGTAATCTAACAAAATACGGTAAACAAATTATTTTTAAAGCATGCATTTTGTAATCTGAAGTGAAATACATTTAAAAGTAACCTTCCCAAGCGTATTTCACTTTAAAGTGTTCTCATATACGCAATGCTTAGTCGCTGTATCCTGTCAGAAACTACATACAGTAGACCGTTTGCTGCTGCTGTATAGACAAAACTGCGTAATCACTGCTGTTTATATGCTTAGTAATTACCTCTTGCATTGAACTGTCCTTTCCTTCCTTTTTATAGTAGCTAATTGAGGAATTAATAAGGCAGACTACACAATAATGCACTGTGGTATGGCATAAAAGAATGTTTACTGATCTAAGATATATAATTTCAGAAGGATGCATGTTGCATAATGCACATTACAATGTTTCTCTCATCTGACAACTATTTCAGATCTTAAAGTCTCTATAATAAGCTGATAAGTTAAATAAGGTGTGTTTGATTAGGGAAACTCACAAAATGTGAGGATTTGGGGGTATTTCAGGGATTCCCTAAAGGTAGCTGAAGGAGCCTATAAACTCCAGTTTTTAGTGGAGAATAGGGCTGCAATTTAACGATTATTACAATGATTAATCAACTAATTGCCGATTGTTTCACTGATTAATCACCAGAGGTGGAAAGTAACTTATTGAAATACTTTCGTTACAGTACTTGAGTACATTTTAAAATTTTTCTACTTTCTGGAGTATAATTAAATTGTTTTTAACTTGTTTTTAGTTAAATTATTTTTCACCAAAAGTACAAAGTACAAAAAAAAAAAAGACAAAGGCGGCACAGATGGAGAAACAGAGCAAGAAATGGGCACTTTTCAAATAGCTGGGGTGGAGCCCTGCGCTTCAGGCAATAACAGACAGGTCTGACTCCGGTGCAAAACTTCCAGTTCAGCTGGTGGTGGTGGGGGCGGGGCATTCAAACCGTTCTTTGCTTTGACAGTCAATCGGCGTTGGTGTTTTGAATCAACATTGTTAGTGTTTCAATATTTTAGTATGAGCTATGCTCTGATTTTAAATTTTGTCAGCTCCTGAAATGTGTCATACCATTGATATTACTAGAGCACTCAACAGTTTAGTAAATAGAGACTCGGTTGATAGAAGGACACAGCTAGTGCATGGATGGAGCAAGAACAATGTAAGTGTCTAAAATGCATGCACACAGTTCAGTTGAATAGTAAAGTTCGCCCTCTTTAACAGTGCTGTTACTAAATATACAAAGTTTCATAAGCCGCCGAAATTGTATAAAATTCTATACTGTTGTGTTTATTGTCTTCATTAGTGCTGTCAAAAGACCCGGTACATCGGTACCAAGTCGGTACTAAAACAAAATTAAAACGTTACGGTACCAGTTTTTTTTTAAGTACCGGTGGTACCGAGTACCCGGTCAACCCGGTTCTTGATGCGCTATCCGAAAGTAATGCCTGAGCAGCGTTTGTGAGCCGAGCGCAGCTGTGTGTACAGCCATTACTGGGGAAACCGCTATCTCTCCCGCTTTACAAGCGCCTCCTGCTAGCAGAGAATGATTTTGCATATAGGCCTATATGCCGCCACAAATAGAGTGCAAGTCTGGGGGAAACACCGCTTCTGTTATGAACATTATTCAATATTTTAATTTGAATGTCGGATTGAAATGAACGCTGTAGTTAATCGTTGGCATTAGAATAATAATAATGAGCAATAGAATGAAGTTTCTTTATTAACTATTTAATGCTCCTATAACTTTTATTAAGGTAAGAAAAACAAGAGGTGTTTTTTGATATTTACTATTTTTACACACCAGAGGCTTTTAAATTAATTGTGAATCTAAAATATGTGTGCTGTTTCTTATGTCTAGCGGTGATTCTTTTCCGCCTCCTACAGGACATTTAAGGTACTACACTTTATTTTGCCGTTTACTTTCGGTTTCTCTCAGTGAACGCAGTCAAGAAGAACGTGCATGCAGTTCCTATGGGTTATTGATTCCATCATTTAAACCTTGGAAATATATGTCTGTAAGTGCTAAATTTTATACTAAATAGTGCTTTAAGTGTTGTGTAGATTAAAGTAAAGTGTAGATCGGGATTATTGTTATATTTTGTTATAAACAGACATGATTCGCCTTATTGGTAGCGTACTTTGTTTTAGCGTACTGCTAATTTCTCTTCTGTTTGTACATAATCTCATTTGAATATAATTTCTTGACATGTACATTACTTTAAATAACGTTACAAAAGGAACTATGTACAACATCGAACTGTAATGTTAAGATGGATGTGTATGTAAATGTGTACATAATGTTCATACATATTTTTTCTTGTTTGTAGTTTTACATAAAAGAATTGAGAAGAACAATCACCAGTAAAGTCACTAAAGTTATGAAAACTGCTTTCTGGAGTTCTTTTCTGAAAGTGTACGCTATCTGTTAAGCCTTTGCTCAAGCTACGCAACTGGACAGAACAGAATAATATGTATGTTAGAGAATGTACAAATGGTTAACATTGTTTGTGTCATATCAGTCAGAAAAGCAGTTCTGCGCTTTTTTTTTTTTAGCTAACTTAGTTGTTATTCTTGACTGAATAACTCTACGTTTTCAAAAGTTTTCAAAAAAATATGTACACAGTTTGGATTAAAATGAAAGTATAGTCAAATTTTTTTAATTAGCATGTTTTTGTGTTTTGCTTTGGTACAGAAATTGTTACCGAGAACCGTGGATTTTCACTGGTATTGGTACCGAATACTGAACTTTTGGTACCGTGACAACACTAGTCTTCATGCTTCATCAGTCAAAATGTGTCTATCTGCATGTTATTCAACTGTAGTAATATCAGATGCATTTGTCCATATAAGGGATTTCCTGGAATGTGATAAGTTTAATACTTCTATGAGTCTCACTTGTGAAACAGACTTTAAATGAGAGTGTTTAATGTTACATAATGCTCACACCGCCTCATTATTGGGTAAAAAAATAATAATAATACTTAAGTACTTTGTAACACAGTAACTTTAGTTTTTCAGCAAACTACTTTTTTACTCTTACTTGGGTCATATTATTTTTCAATACTTTTACTTGTACTCACGTAAAAGTATTGCTACTTAAGGAATAATTTACTTAAGTACAATTTTGTTGTACTCTTTCCACCACTGTTAATCACTAAAAACTGCTTTCTGGAGTTCTTTTCTGAAAGTGTACGCTATCTGTTAAGCCTTTGCTCAAGCTACGCAACTGGACAGAACAGAATAATATGTATGTTAGAGAATGTACAAATGGTTAACATTGTTTGTGTCATATCAGTCAGAAAAGCAGTTCTGCGCTTTTTTTTTTTTAGCTAACTTAGTTGTTATTCTTGACTGAATAACTCTACGTTTTCAAAAGTTTTCAAAAAAATATGTACACAGTTTGGATTAAAATGAAAGTATAGTCAAATTTTTTTAATTAGCATGTTTTTGTGTTTTGCTTTGGTACAGAAATTGTTACCGAGAACCGTGGATTTTCACTGGTATTGGTACCGAATACTGAACTTTTGGTACCGTGACAACACTAGTCTTCATGCTTCATCAGTCAAAATGTGTCTATCTGCATGTTATTCAACTGTAGTAATATCAGATGCATTTGTCCATATAAGGGATTTCCTGGAATGTGATAAGTTTAATACTTCTATGAGTCTCACTTGTGAAACAGACTTTAAATGAGAGTGTTTAATGTTACATAATGCTCACACCGCCTCATTATTGGGTAAAAAAATAATACATTAATGGCTGTGCGTTGAGTTATTTTGAGGGGACAGCAAATTTACACTGTTATGCAAGCTGTACACTCACTACATTTTCATTGTAGGAAAGTGTAGTTTCTTCAGTGTTGACACATGAAAAGACATAAAATATTTACAAAAATGTGAGGGGGTGTACTCACTTCTGTGAGATACTGTATATACAGTATATATATATATATATATATATATATATATATATATATATATATATATTTGTAGTCAACATTTGAAGTGGATCAAAACCTTTCATCATAGTTGTCCTAAAACAAAATCAATACCCCTTCTTGTTTTAGGACAACTTTGATTAACTTTTTTAAAGTTAAAAAAAAAGTTAAGTTGTCCTAAGATAGACTGTATATAAACTGTATATCCATACATCCATATATATATATATATATATATATAAATTACATAACTACATTGTATTAATATATAATATGACTCTGGTTAGTAGGTCACGCATGCGATGATAGCACTGAAGTAAGCTAACCCTGATACAGAACCTACTCCGGAGCAGGTTATGTTCAGAGAGTAAGTTGCTATGGCTACTTACTCTGAAAGTTACCTCCGTTTTTGGAACTGAAAGCTGAGTTTATCCTCTTACTTACCTTAAACATTCCCAGGTATGTCACATAACCTACTTTCTGGAATACCACCCAGATGTGTTTTTAACTGCTGCTTTCACACCGCTGTCAGTTTTTGTAATGTTTATTATGTTAACACATGTTTAACAAATTGAGCAATTATTTTTAAGCAATTAATTATAATCTAATAAGTATAATCTCTCTCTCACACACACACACACACTATTATTAAAATATAAATCAATATTAATCACGAACCTCAGTATGTTGAGTTGATTTGGACTCTTCAGTCCAGCAGCGAGCAGCTTTACTCCTGAATCCTGCAGATGATTGTTACTCAGGTCCAGCTCTCTCAGGTGTGAAAGGTTTGAACTCAGAGCTGATGCCAGAGCAGCACAACCTTCCTCTTTCACCAAACAGCCAGATAATCTACAACAACAATAATAATGTTAGTGTGCTTAATTTTAGAGATGCTTTAGATCTTATTTCTGGCATTTGGAAACAGCAGTAGGAATGTGGTGTGTGTCTGTGTGCACCTACTTAACCTTATTTTGGGGACAAATATATACCCAAAAGTGAGTTAAAATTTAAATAAAAGCAAGATTAAAAAAAAAACACAATTGACAGCGCATATATATATATATACTGTATATATATATACACACACACACACATACATACGTTTACTCAAATTAATTTGACAATAAATTAACTGGCTTGAGATTTCTGTTAACAGTGTGATTTTCTGAAGATTCTGATGATTTCATATGTTGCTAGCATGATTTGATAGCATGCTTCTAGAATGATATAGCCCTTTGCTACGTTTTAATGTGTTTCTAGCGTTACATAACACATCGTTGCTAACATGTTTTAACAAATTGCTAGCACGAGTTAACACAATGCTAACATGTTTCTAGCAACTGATAGCATGTTGCTAGATAGCCAACAGGGCTTAGAGAAGTCAGATAGATAGATAGCTAGATATATATATATATATATATATATAATAAAACAGTGCAGAATATAAACATTTTCACTTTTTGCCTAAAACTTTTGGATCCAACTGTAGACAGCAGGTAGATTTGTAGTAGGCTAATGAAGGGAAAAACAGAACAGTTTCCCAAAATATTTTCTTCATAAACTTGCTTGACAGGGTGTCTGTAATTATTAAAATCACAAGATTAATCATTGTGAAAGTCGAACCTCAGTATGTTGAGTTGATTTGGACTCTTCAGTCCAGCAGCGAGCAGCTTTACTCCTGAATCCTGCAGATGATTGTTACTCAGGTCCAGCTCTCTCAGGTGTGAAAGGTTTGAACTCAGAGCTGATGCCAGAGCAGCACAACCTTCCTCTTTCACCAAACAGCCAGATAATCTACAACAACAATAATAATGTTAGTGTGCTTAATTTTAGAGATGCTTTAGATCTTATTTCTGGCATTTGGAAACAGCAGTAGGAATGTGGTGTGTGTCTGTGTGCACCTACTTAACCTTATTTTGGGGACAAATATATACCCAAAAGTGAGTTAAAATTTAAATAAAAGCAAGATTAAAAAAAAAACACAATTGACAGCGCATATATATATATATACTGTATATATATATACACACACACACACATACATACGTTTACTCAAATTAATTTGACAATAAATTAACTGGCTTGAGATTTCTGTTAACAGTGTGATTTTCTGAAGATTCTGATGATTTCATATGTTGCTAGCATGATTTGATAGCATGCTTCTAGAATGATATAGCCCTTTGCTACGTTTTAATGTGTTTCTAGCGTTACATAACACATCGTTGCTAACATGTTTTAACAAATTGCTAGCACGAGTTAACACAATGCTAACATGTTTCTAGCAACTGATAGCATGTTGCTAGATAGCCAACAGGGCTTAGAGAAGTCAGATAGATAGATAGCTAGATATATATATATATATATATATATAATAAAACAGTGCAGAATATAAACATTTTCACTTTTTGCCTAAAACTTTTGGATCCAACTGTAGACAGCAGGTAGATTTGTAGTAGGCTAATGAAGGGAAAAACAGAACAGTTTCCCAAAATATTTTCTTCATAAACTTGCTTGACAGGGTGTCTGTAATTATTAAAATCACAAGATTAATCATTGTGAAAGTCAAACCTCAGTATGTTGAGTTGACAGTTAGGACTCTTCAGTCCAGCAGCGAGCAGCTTTACTCCTGAATCCTGCAGATGATTGTTACTCAGGTCCAGCTCTCTCAGGTGTGAAAGGTTTGAACTCAGAGCTGATGCCAAAGCAGCACAACCTTCCTCTTTCACAAAACAGCCAGACAATCTACAACAACAACAATAATAATGTTAGTGTGCTTAATTTTAGAGATGCTTTAGATCTTATTTCTGGCATTTGGAAACAGCAGTAGGAATGTGGTGTGTGTCTGTGTGCACCTAGTTAACCTTATTTTGGGGACAAATATATACCCAAAAGTGAGTTAAAATTTAAATAAAAGCAAGATAAAAAAAAAACCACAATTGACAGCGCATATATATATATATATATATATATATATATATATATATATATATATATATATATA